AGACTATAATCTGGCCTCAAGGTGCAACAGTGTGTGAATCATACACAATAACCTTCCCTCAATACCTTTAGGTTTTTGACTCAAACAAACCAATTAGACCAGCGCATGCAAATGCCAGTCACTTGCCAGAAAACTGTTTAAAGGGCACGGCATTTCAGGCCTTTTCCAGAACGGTGGCCCAACGGCGAGCTTTGTCCAGAGAAAACACATCCGGTCTAGTTAATGAAAGCTAGATTGAATGAACGCTCCTGCAAAACACATCTCTCCGTCCTGTTTCTGTGCTTGCCCGCTGACCTCCACTGTTGAGTCTTAATTCATTATAATATGGATTAAAGAGGACAGAGAGATTAGTGTAGGAGGACAAGGGTGGGGATGAGTGTGATGACTCCCTGGAATTGCTGTAATTATCAATCCACTCAAATTGTTGCTGCCCTCAAACAAAGTCGCATCCGGTTTCAAAAGTCAGACTGTTGTTTTGGTCAAGTTTCCACAGCAATCCGCCCCAAAGATGATCTTTCATTTGTACAGTGATAGTATGTATTTAATGGCAGGCAATGGAGGAGAGGGAGCAAGTTAAACAAAATGTATTTGTGCATGGAAGCAAAAAAAAAAAAGTCAATCCAGGGTCACAAGGCAAACGCGGCGCGTTAGTATTGTGTGTATGACATCCTTATGGTATATCTACGTGAATCCGGTTAATCGTGTGTCCGTGAGTGATCGTACACCTCTGAGTCTGTCCCCTGCATATCTCGCAGTTTGTTGCCGCAAACTGCATAATATTTTGGGTGCTCAGTTATGGCGGCATGTTCCAGGACATCTGGTGGTTGAGGTGAGTCACACTCCCTCAAAACACGTGTCAATACCTGTTTTATACTGCCATTGACTTCCTTTTGACTCCTCGCTCTCTACTCTTAAATGGCCCACGGCCAGTAGGGGTCGCTAGTGATAACAAAGGGGTGTGTTTGGCCAACAGCTAACAGCTAACAGGAGTACCAGTAAACACACTGTTGAGTGCATTGCAGCCTCTCAATCACTGCTCTACAGCCAGAGACAAGATGGGGGAAACAGTTTGCTCATTTTTAGTGTTTTGGACTTTGTGTTTGGCTAACAGCTAACAGAACAATACACACACTGCTGTACCTCAACGCCACTCAGTGAGTTTAATTTTGTTTTTGGAAAGATTGTATAAATTATCTTACACGAGGACTTCAACCCGATTGCTTGCATGTTTCGCTGTTTTTTTTTTAGTGTGAATAAAGTGTGTTTCACGACGTCTTACAGCCCTTTGGTGTCTAGATAATGGGAATGCTAATTGTAGTTTTGTATTCATTCATTCCCACAACACAGCAGTGGTCGTTGCAGACACACCTGGTGGAGAGCTGCACTCCACTGAGAGCAGCAGTTGTATTATGTCTTCTGGTTTATTGTAACAGATCAAAATGAATGATAGCACCAGAGAGAATGTATACTCTCACACAAGCTGCGTCACACAAAGACCAGCACATTACCTGACTTATATGAGGAAAGATCATTTAGTAATGATCCATAATGAGTCTCTCAAATAATGAAGGCGATTTATTTTGTCATTAATAGTGAATGCATGAAATATGAGACAAAAGTTGACAATGAAGTCATATTTCATACAATTATCCTCATTACATGAACATACTTTGATATACTTTTGATGTGGACTGACCTGTTGTGTCCAAAGCATTGAGTTGAAGACATTTACATAACGATTATGCTTTTTCTTTCTGAAATAAGAACACGATTTCTTCTTAAAAATCACATTTTCAGCTCCACTGATGTAAATGTAAATTCATCTTTTATTAAAACACTATCATTGTGCCTCAAAAAATATGTCACCGTGGCGGAAGTCAGTGTAAGAAGTGATAATGATATCATTTAGAAAATAAGTAATCAATCTGATAATCAGCTCCAAATGTACATTTGTATTACAGCTTACTGATCATTACAATGTGGCTCAAGCGTGAAATAACGTTTTACAGCTTAAAAGGTTTGAAAGTGAATCCTGTCCTCTTCGTAATAAATCTCTGACATTCAATAATGTGTGACTTTGGGCTGTTAAAATATGATGCCATACAGAAAAAGTGTAGCCTTGTGCATCTTCAACCAGAGTGCTGCAGGGATGACCTATGTTTGTAGTCGAACAGGAAGTTAGCGTCACTGTCACCTCGACAATGATCCTATGGGATTCTTTCATTGGATTTTAGATTATTGCAGGAAATAATCTTTGTGGCAAACAAACGTTTATGATTCTTACAGGTTTTGTTCATGAAGATAATCTTCACAAATAAACTCCACTTTTATGATTTTCGAAGCTTGAATGCAATCAGTAGTAAAAAGCTAACGTTAGGCTATAAAGGAGCTCCACCGGTCACATGACTTCACGAATCCAACACTAAGCTAAAGGCTGAAGCATTTGACTAAATTGATTATTTTGTGCCAAATGTTTCATTCATAAACAGAAACTCCTTAAGTTTGTATCTTTTCTCTGTTTTCACTCTCTTCTCAGCTCACTTAGTCTACTGAACAACAAGTCAAATACTGGCCACTTCTTCCCTAATACCTCTGATTGACTGATTTATACTGTTTATATACACTCACTTGTTTGGTTGTTTTCTGCAATGCAATTGCAATTGCAGCAATAAATCTTATTATTTATTATTTTAGTGTTTGTGTGTATTATTCTCCCTACATATGTTCTGTATGTGCTAATGTTTTTCTAAATTATTTCTATATAATATTTTGTCAATAAAAAGACAAAGAAAGATATGTGTGTTCTAGTGATGACACTTCGTCTCATTTAGACACAAAGCAACCGCCTCGTTTAAACTCGTAAAAGCTTCTAAATTCACCAGAGAGGTATTAACTACAGACAAATTCATTGACATAAATATGTATTATTTATTAAGAGATAAACTGAGGATTTTGAGCAAGTTGTAATCCATGTAATCCATTGCGTTTATGTTGTTTTTGTTACGTTTTGTAAATGGTTGACTGGAGAAACGTACCAAAGCGACGGAGAAAAAAGTTGTGATGCACAGCAGGATTGTCAAAGAAACGTTGGTTCAGGGTTTATGTGGGTTATGTGTAAGGTTTCTGTGTGCGTATGCACTTGTATCATTACAGCATCAACAGAAACATACTGCAGCAAAAAAGCTTTCAAAGCAACATGCAGCTGCTCTTCTGACACAAAGTTGCTGAAATAGCCTCAAATTACATCGATGCGTTACAATGTAATGAAATCCAGGCAAACAAACTACAGCCACAACACAATGTTGAAACAATGTAACCGCCACGAAGGAAGAACGTATCAAAGTATACTTAAATATAAGAAGAGTCGTATGAGAAACAGATGTTTGAGGTGAACTATACCTTCTGAGGTCTTCAGGGAGACACAGCTGAACAAATAGTGTAAAACATTAACTCATATATCACCATGAAACTTCACCAGTTCATTACATTCAGACAATTATTATTTTGTATTATCTGTTCGCTGAAAATGTTGTGTTTAAGTATGCAAATTATGCGTTATCTTGTTAAATATGAGCACATTTTCATACGTTTCCTGAACATAAATGTGAACTTTGGATAAAGCTGCAGGTTCAATATTCTTGTTTCATTTTGTTGACATATTAGAGTCAAAGGTTTTTACATTTATGATATCTCTTTGTTTCACTCCATAAATGTAGCATAAATGAGTGTGTGAGTGGTGTGTGAACTAACCCCTCTGTGTGAACCTTCAGCACACAGAGAGGAATGAACGAGTGAAGTTTGGTGAATGTAAGAGCTGCTGAAGTGGAGATTTATCATCAGAGTCTGAGAACAAACTCATTTAGAGGAAACGTCCTTTAAAGAGACGTTTAGTTCCATTACAGACATTTAGAGACTCTACAGGTGAACACATGAACTCAT